TTTTAATTATCACTGCAAGCAGAAAATAAAGGACACGTTATCTATAGTGCTGAAAGGCCTTGGGTTTGGCTTAGCGGTAGTACACCAGGTATGAATTTTTATCTTAATGTTATTTTATAATTTACATCTGAGTGCAGGACCAAATTACTGTATTTTTGATCATGATCATCAGTTATCGTAATTAGTATTTTATTAACTTGTTTCCTTGTATTGTGATCAGACATCTCTAATCATTTCTGATAGTTTATGTTTCAAATGCTATGCATGTAATGTAAAGTTGAAAAGCTGCGGACTGACATCTGGTGTACAGCCTCTTAATTTATTAATAGATGCATTTTATGGGCTCTGTATGGGTTTCTAGTGACAGTGAAATTATGTCTTTGAAAATACAATGGATATTTTAAGTCCGAATGTTTTGTGATGGAACCTTCTATTCTAATAAGCTTTAAACAAGCATAAACCAGAAACTACACTACAAATGGGGACTGAAAATTACTATTACTGAATAGCAAAGGTGGATTGTAGTGAAATAAGGAACTGAAAATTACAGCGTACTGAGACAGAAACAGAACAAAATACACTCCGTGAAACAACAATCACAAAATATAAGTCACTCACTCACAAAACATACACTAAGCAGAAGATAAAATGATGAAGAAAGATGACTTCCTCCACCCCCAACCTGGCATTCTAGAGGCTAGAGCTCTCCTCACCGCTCTCAATATTCAAAATACTCTCCCCTCTCTCTAGGAAAAGAGGAAGATTTAAAGACCCAAAAAGTGACTCTAACACAACCCTTACTCCTAGAAGATTCCTAGCACATCACTAGGGCTCTAACACATCACTAGACCATCAATTACTTTTCCTTATAACCAGCATCTGGAGGGCAAGCATCTAAACCAACAATAATTTTATCTTCTAAGCTCATTGCCTTCATTGATTTCCTCTTATAGGTCTTAGTAAAATCATGAGCTCTATCAGTCTGTCAAATATTGCTTAAATTGACATTTAGTCCGAGCTGCCAAATGGTCTCCTTTTCCTTTAAGGGGCCAAGGTGGAAAGGGTGGTGCAGTACACTAAGTGAATAACTAACGTTTGTTAGCTACCTATTTTTCAAGCTATGTTTCAGTCTTCTTGTTATAACCAATTCTCTTGTGGAAAATTTCAGGAATGCCTTAAACCACATAAAGTTTTCCTAGAGTTATCACTAAGAGAAGTCACATGATGTTATTTTTAAATCATGACCCTCATACCAGATTTAATGATTAGGCTTCACTTCCATCACTTTAACAATAAATTGTGTTTCAGTAGATTTGTCATGTATGAATTTAGGGCTTTCTGGCTTTATGATGCATATTCTGATATCTATTTTCCATATAAATTTATATATCAAACATCCTTATGCAGTTAATACTTGGATCAGATTTGTGATTGGTATCATGGTTGCCCTCTTGAATTGTCATTTAGTGCATAGTTTGGCATTAGTTTCTGGCCAACCGTGACATATGAAATTCGTTGACCAGGAAGGTCTAGCTGCAGTTTTTGGAAATGGATTATCAACTGCATGTGTTGTTAATATTGGTGCTCAGGTGACTTCAGTAATATGCATAGAGGTAAATGTAATTTATTTGTCCTTTTTATCTGTTACTTTTCACAACACAACTTATTGGCATTGAGTTTGGTATGATATAATCTATAATAGCAAAACCCGTTTTGTTATCTTTAAATAACCATAAAAAGAAAAAGTGAGCCTATGGTGGCTCTATGGATTAGAGTTCCCTGACCAATTTATGCGAATTCTTTGACCAATGCATTATGGTTTACTTTGAGCCAACAGACAGGTTCATGACAACTATCATGCTGTGACTGATGACAAATGACAACTCCAAAAGCTGCCATGGCTGATAGCATGTGCATCCATAGCAGCCTTTAAAAATAATACTTAAAAAAGTTTTATATAAACATAATTAATGAAAATAGTGAAATGAACTGGAAAAAAAATCAAATATAATTCATCATGTAACAAAAAACAGTACACTGTGGAACAATTACCCTTAGTCTTGGGAAACCCAGAAATTATTTTATGTGAAACATTTTGTCCTACGTTTAATTTCTCTATTTTGCCTTGGCAGCTGCTACACAAAAGCAGATACCATGGGAAGGCCTCCTCACCATGGAAAACCCTTGCCATTGTTAAAAAATTTCTACAATGTCATTGCAGGCATGACCATTGCCAACATTGTTAACAGGGTCTTTATGCTCATTCAAATATTCTGTTTTGTGATTTACGTGTTACCTTCACTGCTCCAAGGTTTTCTAGAGATCAATATCCTGTGCAGATCTTCTATGGGGCAAATTGAATCATAAGATCTGATCAAGGATCTTAAGGTCTTACCTCCTGAAAAAAAATGTATATTTTTATTTATAAAATTCTTGGATAAGAATAAAAGTATCAAACCCCGTTGTACTTCAATAAACAAAGTCACGAGTTGCAAAAGTCAAAATCTCATGCATATACACAACAAAGAAGTTGCTAAAGTGATGGTATATTATACAAGTCTTAAATTATAAATGTCAGAGATCACTAGATAAAACAATAATTCCTCAAACTGACCCATTCAATAATAATCTAGTGTATGCAACAAATTCCCTGTGAATCAGTTGCCCAGAAGGCCAGAACTACGAGAAATCAACAAGCTGAATCATAGAATATGGAATGCATATAGTTACCTGGGTTAGAAAGGTGTTCTGGACTTCAAAAAAGGTGCATTCTAAGCCCTCACGTGTGGGAGGGATGCAATTTTCCAAGATCAGGTGGGGTCATCAGATCCTATTTAGCTTTATCTCAATCCTCATCATTTTCAAAAATCCTCGACTGGTGCCATATTATTTATTAATTTAATATGGACAATTGTTGCAACACTTTTTACTGGCCACTGACGACATAGTTAAGCTCTAGCATGTGCCATCAATTAACCATTCAGTTAATTTCTCTCCATGTTTGTCATGTCAGCACTTCTAACTCCTATTTGATATAGAAGAGCTAGATGATTGCTAATTTTGGGGAATTAATTTTTCTTCTCAACTCAACCTCCTTTTTTTTTTGTCCAGGATGGAGGTGCTCTATCTTTAACTGGGAAGACTTTACCTTTTGGAGGCGAGGTATGAAGCCTGCTTTAATACTTCCACTTATTTCTGATCTCTCAAAGTAATTTAGCAAGTATTATTTTGTTTCTGACAATATTTTATAATTCAAGAAGAAAGCAGGATGGCCTGGTTCCTACACCAAGATACATTTAAATCATTGCACTAATGAGTAATGAGAGTAGTTAGTGTTTACTAGGGGTTAATCTGAAGAAGCATAATTCAGGTGGTCAAGTCGTCTGTATTTGTCTACAATTTTCTTTTCTTTTTCTTAAATATATTTTTTTTTCTTTTCCTTTATTTATTCTTTCTTTGGAACTAGAACTCAAATTGTCCACATTGGACAGATCAATTGTCAGACTAGAAATATTTCGTTATTGCTGCAGACAGATAGTAATTTTGAATACCCATGCTCCCATTTTTATTGTGGAGAAGGCTTATTTATAATCTAGATCTCTATTCTGGAATGATGGAGAGTTCTTAGACATTTCCTTTGCTTTTGGAATGGGAAGGCTCTTTATCTTTAGTTACTAGATAAATGTTTAAGGGTCGCCCAAACCCACAATTATTAACTGCTGCCATCACATCTTGGCCAACCCAGCAGCTTTCTAACAAGCAGGAGCTCTCATAGGTTTTGTCTCATATACAACAAATCCTTAGCTGATAATATATTTACAATTACCGCTGCTGCCTTGTGAGAAATCACTAACCTTGTCAAGATAAGAAAACACTTACTTGCCCAGCAAATAAATCCAGACAAGCCCAATTATTTGAGCATTCTCCAGCAATTTTTATCATTGAACACCGTCATGCAAGCTTTAGTTGATGCGTTGTATCCATCAATGGCCAACCTTTAAGCAACAACATAAATAGTAAACTTGATCCACCATTTTTTTTAATCAGGAATTGCAACAAGAAGAAGCCTAATCCCATAGAATTGGCTATATAAATTGCATTACGTTATTGTGCTATGTCAATAGTCAACTACTTAGTATCTCTCTTCACAAGAGTTCAATTCAACCCTCCACACCAACAAACTGCCTCAAACAATTCCCTACCATCTTCTTCCCAATTTATGCCATGCCGACCTTTCCCCATATATGGTCATTATGAATCTTATCTTTTCTTGTATGACCCTATATCCATCTTAGCATCCTTATCTTTGCTATCCCAATTTTTTGTTCTTGTAGTCTCTTTAATACCGAGCATTGACAATCATATAGCATCACCAATCTTATGGCAATGCGATAAAATTTTCCTTTAAGCTTATTAGGTACTTTTTAATCACAAATAACTCCTTTTCTCTTCTGTCATTCTAACCACCTAACTTATATTCTCTGCATAACATCCCCTTCAATTTTACCATCATTCTATATTATTAATCTTAGATTCCTGGACTTTGGACTATAAATCAATTCCCCTCATGTCAAGTAAAATTTTGCTGAGCCACAATTGCGAAGGAAAATATCAAATCATGTGACTCTTGTCTGGTGTCCACTGTATTGAACAACCTTTTTCTTGATAAAAAGGCAATTTTATTTAAAAGAAAAGAATCTGACCAAGGGTCAGGTGTACAATGTATCAGGAAAATCAGAAGCATCATCAACTACAGACAAGTTAAAAAAAAAATTAAAAAAGTAGATAAGAAACCATCATCAACTTAAAATCTCTACTTTAATGACACCACAGCAGCCCGCATACTCAATTAATCATGTTATCTAATAATCACTTCAGTGTCCATCCACTTTGAACTCCTTGAATTTTCTTGTCCGCAATGTGGATGGAGCATGAACCTTTGACATACCGACCTGGCCTTATTGGCCTGTCAAAGAACTACTTGTTCTACAAAATAATTTTATTACTCCATACAGTAATAAATTAACTATGGAATTTTTTAGGCTAGCAATGTGAGTTCTGGAATCTGTGATATTTGATTTTTTTTTTTAAATCTTGATCATATTTTTTTCTGGTGTGATTATGATTTTTTGGTGGTTTAATAGCCCTCTTGTAGTTTTTGGCAATTGCATATCATGCCTTACGTTCTGAGTTCCAAGTTTTGTTTACTTTTATACTATTTCTGCATATTACAACTTCATATTTCCAGGATATATCAAGGTGTTTTCTATGGACCCAGAGACATCACCAGAATTGGCCACAAATTCGCACTGATATTTTGACGAAACCTATAGATATGTTAATGTTAAACAGACTGAAAGAGGCTTATTGTGAAATCAAAGTAAGTTTGGTTACTTTAATCTCATTTATGATGACGTAAAATTAGGATTTGCTTTACATGCTTCCACTTTATCTAGTTAGTTTCAAGACACAGTTATGTTATTTTTGTTTTTAATAATAAGGAGGAGGTGGTTTTTAATCTTCCATCTTGTACCAGAGTCCAATTATAGCCTTGATCTATTTTACATATTAGTTGAATATACTAATGGAAATTATACATTTGTAAGCTAGGATATAAATCTTAAATTGGGATTTCTATCACCAAACCCGTCTTTATTTTTTTAAATACCCTTTGTTCTTTCCATTCTTATCACCATTTTCTGTTGTGGTCTTTGATGGGATGAGATATTTTAAAACCTTTTCATTGTTAGCACTCTATCCTTTCTATTGGCATGGGATAACATGTAAAGTTAGATGTCTGAGCCTTTTTGTTGTTAGCACTCTATCCGTTCTGTTAGCTGGTTTAGGAAGAATAGGGCATGTGATGGACAATTAGTGATTTATTTATAAAAAATTAACTTCTCTCAATCTTTTGTGTGTGTGTGTGTGTGTGAGTGTCAACTATTGTTTCAGTTCTTGTAGCTGATTTAATGTGTCAGGAATAATGCTTTTAATGATTGACTGTTGCATATTGAATGTGTCTGATGACTGTAAAAATGTCACATACGAGATGATGTAACTTCTCTATACTTGGACTTGCTTCCAAACCTGGATTTTTTTCCTTTTCTACAGGAGGGGGAACTTGATGCTAGTGCAGTGGTTCATTCATATGAGGATGGAATACCACCTGGATCTCACAAGACAAGGCTTACTGCTCTTAATGCATGTCTCCTTTATTGACTTCTCATCTTGCCTTTAGGCAATGCTGTGTTGAGACACTGCTGATTGTTATTGTGCAGGTTCCTCCTATGGGGCTGTTCTATCCGATGCTTTTGGTTCCTGATGTGTATCCTCCTCCACCTCGTTCTTGGTTAGTAGATTCCTGAAGTTCTTTTTCTGTGTGATTTGAGCAAATTTGTGAACAATTATGTATTTAATATAGTGGCTTGCTCTGTTAGGTTTCATGACTATGAGGATATGTTAGAAGATCCATGGCACATTGATTTTCCACGAAGACCTGATATGTCAGATACTTTCTATCCGAATGTTAATGTTGGACTACCCATGTGGGATAGCTATCCAGTCTTTTCAACGAAGCCAAAGAAAGAAGAAAAAGTTGGTCTGGCAGAGGCTATTACAAGCAGTATTCTTTTAGCTGGTAATTGTTTACCATTTTCTTTTGTTTTATATGCTGAGATTTAAAGTCTCACTATAATGTTTGGTGCTGTATCCACAGGTCGAATAGACCTCCAAAGAAAATTATTTTGTAGCATACAATTGGTAAGTTTCAAACATTGAGCTTGGTGTGTTTGTGTAAATATTACATTCTGTTTATTTGAATGTTACATTTTGATCTGAAGGAATTGACTCATTTATGTGGTATAGGCAGGTGGAGGTGCTTTGACAAGTGGTCTGGTTCCTGCAGTGGAGGAAAGGTTTGTTTTGATTTTATCTTCTGCAAAATCAATTGGGTAACCAATAGCTGACTGGCTGCGGATTATTTTCATTGACAATTCATTTTAATATTATAAGTTCAACAATGAATAATAATTGCTCGTGAACTCAGAAAGAAATATCAGGTAATCAGGAAAATATTATGGCATTGAAGTAGTCACATGAAGTGAACCCAAAGTAAAAGATACAAGTAATTATGTGATCGCACTGTTAGTATAAATGCAAATTTAGGGATAATTATTTTGTGCACCGTTGAGAATCTTCTGCTCTCCCTTGTTTGTCAACAATATCATATAGGTTTTATTGCCAAAATTTTGAAATTCTGTTGTAGAAAAATGCGAACTTATCAACTTAGCTATTTTATTGTCATATTCTTAATAACAAATTCCAGAAACTGGTGATTCTCTATTATTCACAATCAATCTAAGTACATCAATTTATATATAAAACTCTGGCAGTAATCTGTCAGGTTCTGGCTGAAAATGTAGGAGAAAATAAATGATAATCAAAGCAAATTAATTTTGAAAATAAAATCCCACGATATCAGGTAATAAAAACAAGGGGAAAATACAATTCTTCCATTGATAAAAGGGCCTACTGGGTCGTGGATCATGTTCATTAACACTCTCCCACAAGTTAGTTAATAGACACTTGTCAATGATCATTCCCAACTTGCCACTAATTTATTTAAGCTTGTTTTTTGAAAGTGCCTTGGGAGATGGAGATCAGCTATTTGTGATTTATAAAGGCTAGGTCTTTTTCACCATATTAATCTTTTCTTTGATGCAGTGCTTGTCAGTTTCCGCATGTTTAGTCTTTTTGTGATGAATAGAATTCTTGAAAATTCCAATTGTGGCCATATTATCAACCCACACTTTCATCAGAGGTGTTACTTGAATCTTCAACTCCTTCAATGGGAGGAATATTCACATTCCTAACCACTACGGGCTAGTGCTAAGGTTCTGTAGTTGTCCTCAGCACTACTCCTAGCCACTATAGGCTGTTTTTTGTTCCTTCACGTGACTAGGTTCTCCTTTTCAAAGGTGCAATACCTTGTATTGGATCTTCTATCAACAGTAGAACCAACCCCATTAGCATCTATGTGGACTCCAACTCCTTTGAAATTGCCTTTCTCAAAGAGGAGTCCCTGCTGGGAGTCATGCTCAAATATCTCAATATTCTATATATTGCTTCCATATGTCTTGTGGCTTGCTCGTAATCTGATTCATGGGAAAACTTATGTTTGGTCTTCTTTGTCAGAGATAGGTAGGTCTACCAACCAATTTTTGACATCTCCCTGTATCAATTGAAGTTGTTGCATCAGTTGGACTCGCCTTGCTAGTAAGATCCGATGGTGCTTTAACTGGCTTTGTTCCCAACGTTCCTATTTCTTTCAACAGATGTAGAGTATATTTTCTTTGGGAAACTATGATGCCTCTATTTGACTTGGCAACTTCTATCATAAGAAAGTACCTCAACTTTCCCAAATCCTTTACATCAAATTCAGCTATCGGTGACTTCTTGAGTCCTTGTATCCCTTCTGTATCATCACCTGTTATGTTATGACTATACTATCAACAACAACAAGCCTTATCCCACTAAGTGGGGTTGGCTATATGAATTGTGCAATGTCATTCTGCTTTATCATTTACCAAGCTTTTAGAAATGTTAACTAAGAGGTTTCGATTAACAACTCCTAAAAGTATTCTCTTTGGCTTTCCTCTACTTCTCTTAAGAGGACTCAAAGTTATTTGTTCTACTCTCTTCACTGGTACCCAATGCAAAAGATTATAAAAATGTTATGACTACATTGTCAACAAAGATTATTAAATTTGAAGTCTTACCTTCCATGTGTCAGCAAATAGGGTGTCCCATATGACAGCACAGTGCTTTTGTTCTCTGTTTCACTCTGTATGGCATCTATTATGCCAAACAAAACCTGATTTCTGGACATTATAGAGCATGATGCTTTGATACCATAGGCAAAGTCTAGAAACCGATGGTTCTGTACTCTTCACGATCAGTCTGAGTGCAGATGGGGGGGAAACCTAGCAGTAATCTTCCAGATTCTGGTTGATAACATGGGAGCAAATGCAAGAAGAAGAAGCAGCAGCCTTATTCCACTAGGTATGGTCAGCTACATGGACGACATTATTATGCTTTATCATCAACCAAGCTTCTAGAAACATTATTAACTAAGTGGTCTTGTTCAGCAACTTCCATAAATGTTCTCTTTGATCTTTCTTTACTCTTTGTAGAGCTCAAGATTATTCATTCCACTCTCCTCACCAATTCCTCCCACAGCCTTTTTTGTATATATCCAAACCATATTAAATGATTTTCTACCATTTTTCCCTCAATAGATGCCACGCCCACATTTTCTCATATGTGTTCATTTCGAATTTTATCTTTTCGTATGTGTATGTACTTTCATCTTAACATTCTCATCTCATGATATCAGTGAATAAAATCAGAGAAAAGCAAGGTAATTCTGCCATTAATAGTTGGGCTTAGTGAGTGGGCCAAGGATCACATTCACCAACAGAGATTCTTGGCATTATTTCATCAAGCTTTAAGGGAGATTGGTTTTAATTTACTTTATATGTTATTCTGTGGTGTTTAGTTGATGGACAGTGTTGCAACCTTATTGTGACAGGGTTTTGCATGCCATTCCTCCAAACGAAGCCATTGATACCATGGAGGTTAGTTTTCTCATTCCAATTTCAAGGTCATGGAACTATTTATTTTTTAAATGACACAACTAGCATGGGATTAGTGATGGAAGGGGAAAAAAAACTGGCATGACACTATATATTTAAGCTGACATTGTGATATCATATAATTATTTATTTGGACATTGTATGAAATTCTTTCCCATGATATATATCCTGTTTTCTTGGGAAGGGGACCTGTGTAATGGAGCTTTGTGGTAGTTATTTGTTGTCTCATTAAACAGGTTCAATGTAGGAAATACTTGTAGGTCTGATTTTTGGAATTAGCTTTCACAATATCTGCGGTAGAAACTGCTTACTGCAAGAGGAATGTCAGTAGATATTAGCATATAGTTCCATTGCTACGAGTTTCTCAGGCATCCTTGTTTGCTTTTTCTTGTGTGTCTTTCTTTCTGTAGAAATGAAACGCTATTAACCTCCTGTGATTCGACATGTTCCTGACATATTATGAGTCCGATTACTTTACATGTTGTCTTTTCATATAACTTAGGTTTTACAATCAAGAACGAATCCAACATTTGCAGCATGGAAAGGCGGGGCGGTATGTTATTTTTGCACTTATCCCTATCATGATTTACTTTTAAGTACTTCAGCTTCTCTCTCTCTCTCTCTCTCTCTCTCTCTCTCTCTCTATGTGGTGATAAATTATTTCTTCTTGTTGATTATTAAATTATTCGATTAGAAAAAGCTCTTCAATATATAAAAATTGTGTGTATTTCATTTTCCAATTCTTTATCTTCCCCAAAAAAGAATGCTGGCTATTTAGAGGTGGAAATTGCGAAAAGCTTGGCATTTCAAACTAAAGAAAACATCTGGCAAAAAAAAAAAAAACTAAACAAAAGAAAATGAATTTGTTGAGTAAGCGCTACTGGAAGTCATTCAATACGAGCTTAGGCATTGAGGGAAAGGATCTGGGTCCATTTGACTTCTGACTATATATCTCACAAAGATAATGTCTTGGCAGATTCTTGGAGTACTAGATTGTGGCAAGGATGGTTGGATACGTAGGGAGGAGTGGATAAACAATGGGATTGACCCGGACTATGTCAGAAAATACAAGGATTCTTATTATCTTCAAGCTCAAGCTATGTGTTACATGAATTCTTGAAAGCCAGGTTATCCATGAATGATAATAGCAGCAAAAATAAGCCGTAAGCGAAGAGTCAATGATGGAAATCAGCTACTCGAGTACTCGTTACTTCGTTCTTATGACATTCTTCCCTTCATCTGCTTCTCCTTTTACAATGAGCATCCTTTAGGTTTTGCCAGATATATAGAGCCATAACTTGAGGTGTTAAAAAAATCTCCCTCCCGGTGCGGAATAGCCGGAAGAAGATGAGATTTTCTAAGGACAGACTCTGTGTGTGATAAAGATCACTAATTATGCATAATCAAAAAGACATCACTAGTTATGTGTTTTATAACTTCAAGTTTTAGAGTTTGTTCATGTCACTAAAATCTAATGGCGTGGTCTGGAACTGCATCTCCTTTCAAGTGCATTTATCTCTTCTTCATTGAATGTTCTCCGGAATGTGTGAATGTAGTGGCTTCTTCTCCATGATCTATGATGGAATCGGCAGTTGAGGGGCAAAGCAACAATGAGAAATCATTTTGTGGACCAAAGCGGAGGGTTTTTTTTTTTTTTTTTTTCCCAACCCAACAAGCTAAACAGAGGAAATGATTTGTGCAGGTTTACAAATGTTGGAAGTTTGGGTTTAAGCGTGGGTCCGTTGTTTGACCAGAAAGTAGTCACCTTGCGGGTTTATAAGTTATAAACTTTTTCCCAACGTAGGACTTAGGTTACCAGCCTCGGTCAAATGTTACGCGTTTTCTCACGTTATTTCATGGGATCCGAAGCTCTGCTTTTTTTTTTTTTTTTTGGCTTCGATTCCTACACGTGCTTAATTTTGATTTAAAAAAAGAGGACACCTTTTTTATTTTTTTTTTATTTTTTGGGTGTGGGGTTGGGGCACCTTTGAAGAAGGCGTGCAACAAGTACAGGACCACGAATTAGGAAAGGTATAAGTTTGACGTAGGCATGTGACCAAACCATACATTTAAAGAAAGAGGTGAGGTAATAGCTAAAAGGAAGTGGGACTGTGCATTATTTGGATTTTTTGTTTCTTTTCTTCATATTTTAATTTTTGCTATACTCTTTCTATTAAGAAATATAAGAAATTTTTAATTGAATCTTGCTCTCAAATAAAATAATTATGTATATTCAAACTAACATTATTTTTTCAAGTTTATCTTTATTTAATGGGAAGCTGACAATAAAATCTTTTTAAAGTATATAAATAACAATTTGGTTCATTAAAATGTCATAATTTTCTTGAACCCTTTAAAGACTATTTTATTATTAATGAATTTATATAAATTATTAAATTATTTTTGTTAAAAATAAATAATTTATAAGTTTTGTTTAAATATTCATAATTTTTCTTTTTATATTTACAATATTACAAAAGTAAATTATAACTTTAAATATTAAATTATTTATTTGTTGTTGCAATATTGTGAATATAAGATGAAAAGATGTAAATATTTAAATAAAATTTATGAGTTATTTATTTTCAATAAAGATAATTTAATAATTTATATAAATTTATTAATGATAGAAAAATTATTAAGAATTTTAAAAAAATTATGGTATTTTAAAAGATTAAGTTGATGTCAAAAATTATTTGCACTCCTTATCGAGTCTTCTTTTGTATATATTAGAATGTTACATTTGTGTAAACTATATCTAACGAATAAATATTAATGATAATTAGATGTAATAAAAGTGCCTAATCTTATATAAAATTTGAATCTTTGCTTGAAAAGACACTCTTATATACACTCATTCACAGAGTTATATAGGAGTAAAAAATATAATATAAGGATCTCTTTAGGTCTCATGTCGTGCATTACTTGTGAAAATGAAGGTGGGGCTTAATTGAAATCCAAAAAAAAAAAGAAGAAGAAGAAGAAAGAAGCGTCTATGTGTCCGGTTAGGTTTGGAATGAAAGGGGACAGAAAACTTGGAATCCAAGTAAAAGGGTGGTGGCAGTTTCCTTTAATGTTTTTGTAGTAAGTTTCCTTTATTTTTTCATTTTGTGGGTACACGCAGGGAAGTGTTAGGCCATTAAAGTCATCGTCTTGGGCCTAAAAAAAATCTTTGATTATGTCCTATAAACTGGTCATTATTTTTTCAAGTAAGTGTCAATGTTAATCACATATTTTCACAAAAAATTCAAAGCTTTGAACGATGAAGAATTGAAAATTTTTTGTATTAATCTTGAAAAATTCTTAAATTTTGATGATAATTTTGATGTTGATACTAGTAAAAATTCCTACTGCTGAAATGAGTTTTTTTAAAATTAAATTTGGTTAAATCTTATTTAAGATCAACCATGTTACATGATAAATTGGAAAAATTAATCTTTTAGTTCTTCAACTTTTAATTCACTTATAACTCAGTGCCTCAACTATGATTCGCTGCGACTCAATCCCTCAACTATAACTCGTTACAACTCAATCCCTCAACTTTTAATTTACCTATAATTCGATCCTTATTTTTTAATTTTTTTAAAAAAATTTTATCAAATAAGAGGGATAAAAAATAATTCATATATTATTTTAAAATACTCTCTTTTTATTCATTAATATGAGATATAAGTTAATATGAAAAAAATTAACAAAGGTTAAGGGACTAATTTATAAGTGATTCAAAAGTTGAGGGACTGAATCATAGGCGAGTTATAGTTGAGGGACTGAGTCACAGCGAGTCATGGTCGAAGAATTGAGTTACAAGTGACTTAAAAATTGAAGAGTTAAAAAATTAATTTTTCCTGATAAATTAAATGAATTAATTATATTATCTATTGAGAGTGAAATGTAAAAATTACTTGATTATAAAATTTTAATATATTATTCTACCAATTAAAAGTTAGAAAAATGATATGAAGATGTATAGATAATAATTAAATAAACCTTCTAAATAATTTTGCCTCATATCTCAAAACTTTTTCACAATTCCCTGGTATAGGCGACTGTTTCTGGTTGTATTGAAGACTTGATGTGTAGGAACAGGTGTTACTTCAAGTCATTAGGGCGTGACGTTTATTTGAAGAAGAGGAAGAAGGAGAAACGTAGGAGCAGGTGGGGGCCCACTTTTATTTTCAAATCATAATAGTAGAAGTAATAGTGATAAAACGTCAAAACAGAATCAGAAGACAAGGCACGCACACGCATCTGTTGGCACAAAATTTTGGGCCATCTTTGACTGCTCATCTCTTTTCCGTTAGACGTATCGATGCTCTTGGTTGATTCTCTCTCACTCCTGTGCCTTCGCTTTTTCTCTTTACTCTTTTAGTCAGCTCGAGCCTCCGGCTAAGCCACCCCCCGCCCCCGACATCTTTTAATTCCTTCTTGTTTTTTAGCTCCAAGGCAACTCATCAATATAATTTTCATTCGGTTGCCTCTTATATTTATACATATCAACAACATGCCAGTGCTTGTGTTAATATTTGATGTACAGGTAGAACTTGTGAATCGGATATATATTCCATACGGATTTAATCTTTGTCACATACTTAGAGGAGCTTGAGACTTCTATTAATCAACCCCTGATCAGTTAATCCAGACGATAAACGATCTATTATTATAAATTTTAAATAATAAGAAACGAATAAAATTAATTAATTAAAGTTGTTAAAATTTAATCTAAAAAAGTTTAGAAGTGAATTTTAATATGTTAATAATATTAATATGTTTCCATCCAATAAAATCATAATAAGTTAATTTTATTGTGTTAATAATATCAAAAATAAGAAGTTATTATAAACTAAATAATTTATAAAATATTTACATATCTTGATTTAATTAATATGTGTTTGGTTTTCAGCTTATATCAGTTAAAAGTATGCTTAGGTGATCTAATTACTTGTTAGATTTGATAAAAATACATTCTAGATATAATTTGAATGTTTTTTTAACAATTATCCAAACAAATCCTTAAAAACAAGTTTATTAAATATATAAAATTAAGTATATAATTTTTTTTTTATGTTGGTGGGATGAGAAGGAAAGAGGAAGAGGATAGAATGCTTTTCCCATAATAATTGAGATAAAATCTGATAATGTTAGCATTTGCTATTTATAAAATGGATTAGTCAAAGAGCAGAAAGTAAAAGGGCAACGAATATCCAATGCTGAAATTTAGTAGGAGCGAATAAAGAGGCAAGGGATGTAAATGGAGATGAGTCAGCAACAGGTTCCATGGGCTAAGAAGCTGAGCTGTTGGACAGCCAAGCCCAGCCATCTTTGACCCCTTCGCTTCCCATCGTGTGCCCAACCCCGGCCCTTTATATCCACCCTAACTACCATATTCCCTCACACCTTCACTCACTCTTCATCCTCTCCTGATCTCTGACCCTCTCCTTTTCCCTTGCCCTAGCTTCATTCCACCCTCACCGGAAAGCCTAGCGGATGGCTGATTCCCAGAGGCATAAGCACGGCGGCGCCGGAAGCCGGAAGCAGCAACAGCAGCCGAGCCGCCTGCAAATGCGAGCACCGTCTTCCTTACAGGTAAATCGGTCGTGTGATTGGAACGTGGCGATCCCCCTGTTATCGCCTCTCGCCTCGTCGCCGCCTCCGGCTAAACTCGTCGCGCCGGCGACGGAAAGGGAAGAGGCTCGGCAGGTGGATCTGAGCCAGCAGCAGCAACGCCAACAAGGGCCGGAGCCGGAGAAGGTGGTGTTTAAAAAGTGGCAGCATCCGGCGGCTCCGTTCTGTTGCGAACAGTCCTCGGTGGCGCCTCCTTTCTTCCGCTGTGTATAGATATTAGTTATAACGGTCGTAGGATGATCGGATGGTTGAGAACTGGACAGGAGAAGATCTAAGGGTGTATGTTATGGCAGAAGGATTCTAATCTTGGGTCCAGTCGATATTGCTGATTGTATACTGTGGGGTCTAACCATTGTAGGATGGACTCTATTTTTTTCTCCTGGGTTCCCCCCCCCCCCCACCCCAAACAAAAAACAAAATTTCACTCTAACACGTTAGAAATTCCCTCGTGTAATTTACCTCAATTGATTATTAGAGGTCCATTCAATTTTAAATTGTACACAGTATAATTCTTTCATAATTTTCTGTTACTGGGTTTTAGCCCGCGCGCAAAATTAAACATCGATGAAAAGTCATGTTGCTTAAAATTAATGAAAAATTTAAAGAGTTTCTGATTAATTAGAGGTGTTGTTTACATGTTCGTATTGTGATTGTGAATCTCGGGGGCCTTAGTTGCGTGATTAATCTTTTTGAGTCTGCAATCATTAAGTAATGATTCAGGTAACACCATGTTATCATGTTTGCCATTTTGCAGCCCCCATTGTCGATGTTTTGTGCACATCAATTTAAATAAAACTAGGCAAATCCAAGTGGGAGATGAGTGTGATATTTTCTTTTTCCTTTTCTTTGGTCAAAGCCGTTCAAAGGAGAGCTTTGTGGCTGCACAGTAGAATTTCAATTTGTAAACATTATCAACTTGGAGCACATGGTTAATTAAAGCGTTAATCAAGAAGATCTGATTGCTGTTCAAATCATTGAGATGCTACATTATATTGCAACTATATATGGACGTGACAACCTGCAGGAATGTTGCGTTATGTGAGATGCAGAATGGACTCCTCTTTTTTCCCGTGCTTTTCCCTCCACTTCTCAATCCTCATCACTTATTAATTTTATAATTAATTTTTTTTAATAAAATGATATGAATGGTGAGAATTGTAAAAGTGAAAAAAAAAAAGGGAGAGAACTCTCTCCCGTTCTCCATGAAAGACACAAAACAGCTCAACAGTACTGTGATGAAATACATAGAGAATACAATAACGAATGGATGTGCAATAATGTTACCTGGTGACAGCCCATGTGGTCACGTGGTGTTTAATATTAGTCCAAAAGCATAGGTAATAAATTCCCACGTCCTTTGCTCCTATGAGCCATCCGACGTTACATTGCATCTCCTTTATCGACTTCAAATACCCTCTTGCATTTTATCCCCAAAAATACAAAAATAAAATAAAATAAAATAGTGCCTTGGATCTTTTATATATAAATTACTTTTAAAGAAAGAATGGATGTTTGTTTTTCGAAGTTAATTTTAATAAAAAAAAAATAGAGTAGCTCACATAATTTTCTATTGATAAAATAAAATGCTACATATAAGAGAGAAATTGTTTTTAAATAGGATGCATTTAATATCAATAAATTGAATTTTTTTATCAATATCGATAATTTATTGTGGAAGTATTTTATAATGTAATGCATGAGAGTTTGAACATGGATAAGACACCATTCAATCCCAAACCATGCGTGCTAGACTTTCACGAAATCTTAAGTTTGTTTATGTGGAAAACAAGAGCTCATTCAACTTTCACACACGCAATTTGAACCTTACTTTTCAATTAAGCCTTGCTGGGAGACGCATGACGTTAACATCTACGCAAATATTACTATTTTTGTAGTTAGTTGAGAATTTGATCAGTTTTCCGAGGTTTTTTTTATAAATTTATTAGTAGTTGGTGTTTTACAAATTGTTTAATAAGTAGATTTTATGGTTCGATATTTTATGATGGGTCGTAATATAAATAATTATTCAAGGGGGTTCTTCAATGTATTTTTCTTAATTCATGTTGACTTAGACTGAACACTCGAAATTTCCAGTTTCGTACGACATGCATGCCGCCATTACCTAACTCTTTAAGTATGCTTCTTTGAATCTTTGTGCTGCTGTGAACCCACGTGTTTTCAAAATTTTCGAGAAAAACTATATATACATAGGATTGTTTTTTTTCTCCATGTGATGTATGTATGTATGAGATATTATGAGAGTCTTTTTTAAAAAAAAAAGGAATTATACGCTGCTTTCGAACATTTAAACTGTTGAAATGGAAATCATTGAATCGTGAATAGGAAACAATAAGATATATGACAGTTGAAAAACAATGAAAACTTAATTAAAATATAGTAAGACACAGTCCCAAAAGAAAAAATTCTAAAGATAAATGATGATGAGTGGACGACGACGCATTCTTATTATGTACTTGTTGGAGGAATTGATCCCATTTGGGTGGATATAATGTAAAGATGCAAAAAGAGAGTGTGGAAATAAATGAAAGGCATGCAATTAATGAAGAAGAAATGTAAATACTACCACCGTCCCAATTTACTATAAGATATTTTTAAAGGTTATTCAGTGATTTAAAAATATAAAACCTTTTGATAAATATTTTTTATTAATTATACTCGTTTAAATATTACAATTTCCTTTTTTATTATATTATTTCAATCTCTATTTAATATTTCATGAATACTTCCTCCGTTTTTATTTATTAGAAAAATTATTATTTTTAATTATTTTTTAAGCAAAATCACATATCTCAATTAGTATTTATTATAAATTTTTTAAATTATCTTTTATAATTTATATTATAAGAAATAATTAATGCATGCTTGTGTTAATTAATACAGAATATCTTAGTTTAATTTTTTTATTTTCAAACACAATTATTATAGTTAATTAATTTTCTTAAATTGTGTAATATAGTTTTTTTCTTTTATATATAAAAACGGAGAAAGTAAGGTTATATAAAATTGAGTACTCTATCTATACAAAAATGTAAAGTATTACTAATTTAATTTTATTATACATTAAAACATTAAAAATATTTTATATTTTTTAACTGATAGAGTATTTTTTAGAATTCATAGTTGTGTTTTAAAAAATTAAACTTGTAAAGTATATTTAATAAATTTTTTAATAAATAAAAGAAGTAAGTTTTGCCAACAGCAAAGTTATCTCCCTTGAGATAATAAAAGCAATTGATAGATCTGTTTCAATTAATTTACTTCATATACAAGGATTGGGGGTTAAACTCTCAACTACTTACTGTAGGTGATAAGAGCCTCCACCATTTATATTAATTTTTATTAATATATTTAATAAATTTTATTAGTACGCGTAATTTTATCAAAGAAAATATTTTATAAATTAAGACCAATGGTGATCTGAATAGTGCATCAAACGCTCAGGAGTAACTACGATGTAATAATATGCGTTCTTGTTGTGTCGTTTTCTCCCATCTGTTTCCTTCCCAATACGTCACACAAAGGAGTGGTCCTCCATTTTCACTCTTCGATGTCGCTTACTTGGTAATCTGTATGTTTCATGATTCTTTTTTTTTTTCCTTGAACTTGATCGATTCGTGGAGAGAGATAGTGTGATATATATAATATACAATTATATTCTGGGAGGATATTCGATCGTATTTTGAATTCAAAGATTCAAAATTGATTGATCAGATGGAGAATGCAGAGCACTATAATGGACGACTAGTCTTGAGTGGATGTGCATCCACAGATCCATCCAAAAGGGGACAACCACAGGCCAACATGTAGAGATTCATTATCCCAATTATTCCAAAGCACTTACGCTGCTTCCACAAACTCTTCGTTTCAATAGACCTCATCAATTATTTTAAAGAGAATGATTGTCAACTCTCACAAAAAAAAAATAATAATAATGGCAATTAGATTTTTGATAATTTTTTTTTAAGAAATAAGTTACAAATACTGATTTAAATAATTGCAATTTACAAATTCAAGAATTTTGATTATAAATAAAATATTTAATTGTAATTCTCAATTTACAATTGAAAGTTCTATTTACAATTATTCGAATTAATATTTGTAATTATTTTTTAAAATTTTTATTAAAAACTTAAATGGTATTAATTATCCCATTCAAAACATCACTAAAATTCTCCCTTCTTCCTTCTCTGACCCCTATCTTACTATTCCCTAATACTAATTACTAATCTTGGTTATTTTTCACATTTTTATACAAATATAAATTGATACTAGCATTTCCGTCAAAAACTCCTTGTTCTTTCATCCAAAAAGGCGTTGCTGGTAAGTGGTAACCTCGGGTGCACTGGGATGTAGATGTGGTGGGGTAATTAAGGAGCATACGGGCAAATGTTTGGAGGAGTACATGTTTAGAGTGCAGGACGGTGATAGCCTCTCCGCTGAACTTTGGGCATGTAACATGTGATCATTTAAGCGAGCACGGGGCAGACACTATATTATAGAAAAGTCTTGATTCAGAGCAACTGAGACACATGAAGATCAAGGCGTTATTGCTGATATTAGGCTTCTGCTGCAGAGAGATTGGCAGGGGAAGCTGGTGCATGTTCATCGTGATCTTGTCGAGGATGTTGATTACCTTGCCAAGACAGCTTTATCTCTCCCCTTTGGTTCCCATCCGATTGCTGCTGAGAATTTTCGTAGCTGTATGGGCGATCTTTTTTTTTGAGTTAGTTACTTGCTATCCGTTTTGGTTTTTTCCCTTCCTTTTGTATCAAGGGAAAAAAATGGGGCGTTAATGCGATTACACTAAGTACAAGGCATTATGAATCCATTTTCATGGCAGTACTGTTCAAGACATTAATCTAATTTGGATTCATCTCAGTTTTCTTATTTTCCTTGCATGAACCAGTAGTTTGCCCGCAGACGTACCCGAGAACGTTTTGGGCCTACTCTGCGTGTTTGTCCAGCGTGCCGCATTGCCGTTTAGATCCGAGTCAAGGCCACAACTTTTATACCCGTGATTGGCCCATTTCATGACACATGCCTAAGACCCGAGGCCGTTTGATGCTTCTTAAATTTGGCCAGGCTCACGAGAAAATTACTCCGGGCGGTGTCTCGTTGCAATATTTGACCACTAGTGCCAAGGAACAATCTGGAAATCATTCTCTAGTCAATAAACGTTTGTCAAAAAGAGACCACGCGCTGACAAAAATCTAACGCAGACCAAAACTTGTCAATTAAATCAATGTATACTAATATCTCACAGGAGCTTGTGTCGGATTGATTCCTCTCCCACAGGGAATCAAGGGTTCCAAAATCATCTCAGATCCAGACTGATGCTAAAATTTGATCATTCATGTATTCACCTCGCTAATGGTCATCTTCGTTTGTCCTATTATAACTACTCCGTGTATCTTTCACGAAACACGTATATTCTTAAAAAAAACTTACAGTGTTTGACGAGTTAATTTGAAAAGAATACTGGACAAAGCGTGTGGACCCAAGTCAATTTGAAACTCCATAATTGTATTTTTGTAAACGTGATTATTATTAGACAAAATGGTTTATTGCCTTCTAGCATTTTAAAAGAACGAGAGCGTAGTTTTCATTAATATTAAATCTATTTTTATAAGACTTTTTCATTGACTATAAAGAGCTCTCGGTAGTGGCCCAGGATATGATGGTTCCAATGTCCTCAGCGAAAATAAGAAAGTAATTGAAGAAATAGAAAGGGGCTGTTCCAATTCCAAATGCATAATTCATTTAAAACAAATTATGAAACAATATGTACATAGGAATGAGGAAAGCGACAGGGAAGTGTTGAAGAGATTGACGACAAATTGAAAGGGTGGCATGGAATGAAACAGTGAAATGGTCAAAATTCAAAAAGGTTTGAGGTGGTGGAAGAAGACGAGGGATTGATTCCAAGACAAGATCACTGGGAATTAACCTCAGAATTTCATGCTCAGAATTGTTTCTAAATAAATATTTATAATTTATTTATTTTAAAATTCTCTTGGTATATAACTATAGTTAATTCCTTTTTTTTTAAAACGTTATTGTATTAAGAGAGAAAAGAAAAATCAAATACGTAGGTTAGGAAATGCATATCCATATTGATAAGGTCTCTCAATAGAGCTAACTCCCCAACGTGAGATTCTCTTCTTTTGACGGTCTACTTTGTTGGGTACACCAGACGTACCTCCATCATATTATCCAAACGCTAAGGGCAAAAACTTGGGTCCCTCCTCGTCGATTCGAGGCCTTAATCAACCCTTTCTATTTTAATTGTACAAGTGGTCTAACATGCTCTAGGTCCTGTTTCTCTGTCAAAATATTATGTTCTAAGGAAAATCTGGGTGTTTAGTAGTAACTAGACAATCCATTTAATCAAGATAGTTTTTCTTTTATCTAATTAAATATAGGTGTTTAGTAGTAACTAGACAATCCATTAAATCAAAATTTGAGTGTTTCAATATGTTTCAAGGAAATCATGGTTTGGGCTTTCAAAATTCATTTTTTTTTTGGCACCCCTTGTTTGGATTGAAAAAAAAAAACAATTAAGGGGCTGACTCATAATTTGGAAATCTAAGATAATTTGATTTAGAAAGGGTTGGAGGAGGCGGCATGCAAGGTAGTAGAAGCCAGAAAAGCCCACGTGGGATGATCCCACTTGAAGGTAGGCCCCACATCAGAAAGAGATAACTCCTATTTACTTAACCCTGAAACTTTACATCTTCTGAGACTTGCCATTGCAATACCTTCTTTTTGTCACTATTTGCTTGCTCTTTTGCTCCTTGTTCCGTTTTCTTTTATTCCCTCTCCCCACTACGCTGCTTTTGGCTTTCTCGCCTTTTAGGTATTCTCTTTGGCTTTTTCATGTATTTATATATGCCCTATGTTCACAATTCGTTTCATTGATTATTTGGTCATCTTTATACGTTACTCTAATGCAAGCTAAAACAAAACCACCAAATCCCACTGTCCCTAACTTTTGACCAATTTCTCTCTTCCTCTCACTTTCTTAATCCATTGCTTGCGTTTGTTTATTAAATTTCCATGGAAAAATACTATTCTTGACGAATCAAAAACCACTCCAACAAAGTCACATGCCGCATCTTCTATTCCATTTTTTTATACGTAAGTGAAAATGACATTGCATTTCAGCATTTTGCTCATTTCATCCTTCCACGATCCTCTAAAATTCATACACGATATGTACCACGCCATTATTAGTTTAAAAAAAAATATATTATGAAAACTTGTGTCGATTTGCTTGGTTAAAAAGGTAAATTATTAAACTAATGCCTTAAATTACTTAATAAAATACTTTATTTATAATCAATTTGATCACGGTTTAACTATAATTTTAACCATTGATCTTTAAATTAAAATTAATGCCTTGACATGTTTAATAACTGGTCTAATTTTTAATAACTTAAAAAACATTCTATCTCTCTCTCTCTCATAAATTTTACTCAATATTCAATTTTCTTGCTTGAATCCTTATTATCATTTTATTATCTTCTTTTTAGTTTAATAACCATATAATTAAAGAGTATTAATTAATGGAAAGAACACAGAAACATAAGAATGGAATTATAAATTTTGAAATATCAGGATTAAATTAAGAACAGGAAAGCAGGGAATTTTCTTGGCGATAAAACACAGAAAGGAAAAGGAGAGAAAGCAACAGAAAGAGGGTCACTTTAATTCAGTGGATTGGATAAGCGTGTGGTGAAGAGAGGTTGATGGAAAAGTTATATATAACTAAAATCAAGAAGCTTGTTAGGCGATGATACTAAACTAATCTGAGAGAACGAGGAGCAGGTAACCAATTAGGCAATAATTCAAGTATATCTTGTGCAAGTATCAGCAACCAGCTGTGGTACATCATTTAAATTGTTTTCTTAATCTATATCTAACCCACTGGTAAAAGGAATCAACATTGTCCTTGGTTTCTGCATTTCTTTTTTAATTATTATCTATCTCCTAGATAGCCAATAATTTAAAAGTTTTTAAAAATTGTGTTATATTTTTCTAATTAATTAAATCTTGTTGAAGAAAATTGAGGTAGAATATCACAAAGCACGTGAAAACTTATTTGAAGAATAAAAAGTTGTAAAGAACATAAGAGAATGGGAAGATTTTAATTTACATTAGATTTTTTATTTAATAATGATATTGATATCAATCGATGATTTGATTGGAGGAGTAATTCTAAATTCTAATAATACTAGTCAAGCACACATGATACCTACTTACCTGTAGCATTTCCGAGCAGAAATTATACTACTCAAATAATAAATATTTAAGATATGTGTATTTATCATGCCTAATGATAATTTTTTAATATGATTTATCCGCGTGTTATTTTGTTGGTAGATTCGGAACATTCGTATTGAGTAAGTTTTTCTTAGGAATTTTTCTTGAACGTGTTTTTGTGGATGTAAATGAAAGACATTAGAGTTTGTATCAAAGTCACGTCCAAGACAAACGTTGTTGGAATGTTGTCCGTTTGGTTGGTTTGGAAGGACCAAGTAAAAGAGGACTAAAAATGAATTTTGAAGTCTAATTTTGAACCTTCCATTGTTTGTGAATGCACGTAGGTGTGCTAACATCTTGCTTTTTTTGACTTAGCTGATATAATTAGTCAAACCACGTTTTCTAAGCCTTTGATTATTAGTACTCCCCACATCCTTGGGGTTTGGGGTAGTGGGAGACTTGGATTGCCTCCATTTCTCAGCACTAGCAAATTATTATGTCAAGGACCATTATGGTTTTTTGGGGTTAAAGTCTCCTGTGCTCTTATTTTCTATACTTGAAAATATTCAATTAGAGATAAATTCATTAATTATACAAGCCCATTTGGAGATATCAATATGGTGTTAATTTATTGCATTAAGTTTAACAGATTTGCCCTGTGTTCTGCTTCGGTATGCATTATTCAAGAGAAACATAATCCAGACCATCGAATAATAATTAAAAAATAAAAAATAAAAAGATGGTTCTTCTGTGGCTTGAAATCATTGCTAGCTTTAGACTAGAAATTCCCTGATAAATGATGATCCCACGAGTAACTTTATATTGAAAAATCAGGAAAGGCGCACACACCCAGGTTCCTGCAACAATAAAGTTTTATTGATTTTCTAGAAGCAGTCGATTGGAAGCCTGAATAAACAGAGTCGAACTTGCCTTCTATTTGGTTAATTTTGTGCAGTTTCTATGTAATGAAGACCAAACATTATTGATTATACGTTCTTTCTTTAATTTTAATTTTTCAAATTAGCTTACCCGCTTCATAAATTTCTAACTGCTCCTTCATTATTATTTCGTCATTTCATAAATACCGCGGTTCCTCCAGCTGTTGACATGAAAACAATTTCACCCATTAGGCAAAACATCTCTCCATTTTTTAACTTGCATGCTTTCTGGGAAAGAATTGGAGATTTTAGGTCAGCTTCCCAAAAAGGGAAGGTCACTGCCATTCAAATAAACAGTTAACTGACAGGAAAGAGAGAAAAAAGGTTAAAAGACAATTATAATAATTAATTAAGAGATTCTGCTTCTCCTTGATCTTAATTTTTCGTGTTTCTGTTTTTTACCCTGTTTACTCTCTCCAAATGGCTGCAGCTTTTTGCAAAAATTACGAACTGAAACTGAATGTCGAGGACGTCCAAATTTAAAAACCCCGTCAGTGTTCAGATCACTTTTCAAAATTCTGATACTACCTTTGAGAAAGACCAGGGGCTGAGAGAACTCCCTCAAATCTGGCAAACAATAGCCCTTGGCCTTGCTTTTGATTCTTCCCCTTCCCCTCCCAAATTCAAAGCGCTTTGTATTATTATTATTTAAATCTCTCTCTCTCTCTCTGCTTTTCTCTGCTATCATTTGCCGCTTAAACTCAATTGATTACACCCATTCTCGTTCGACCCACGCCTGCTCGATTTGCGCCGCATGCCAGGCTTCCCTTGGCTTCCCATCATGTCAATTTGCTTTCTCTGTGACCCATGTTTGAGCTTTCTTCAGCACTCTATCTGACTCCTCCACTATCTCTTCCTTCCAATCGCTGCACGCCGAGGAAGTCGCATGCCCATCAGAATTCAAGTGCAGATTGATTGCTAAAAGGAGGGGCAAAGATGAAAGTTCGCAGCTTTCATATGCTAATGGGTTCGTCTTCTTCTCCGCAAGGGTCTCGCGCGCTTTCACAATAGCTTCAGCAGCTTTGATTTCCGGTTTTCCCAGAACGACAACAGATTGGGTTTTTGAATTGACCGGAGATTCGGAGCAAATTGGTGGAATTGGCAGCTATGGTTGCAGAAACTTGGATTGTAAAGATGGGTAACCACGTGAGCGCTAATCTCAAGCAAGCGCTTCTTCTCGAGACTTCAACGAAGAGAAGACAGAACCACCCAAAAAGGTCAGATGACAAACAAGTAATTGGCATTCTTTCTTTTGAAGTAGCAAATGTAATGTCGAAAACCGTTCACCTCCACAAATCCCTCGCGGAGTCCGAGATCTCAAAGCTCAGGAACGAGATCTTGACCTCTGAGGGTGTTAACAACCTCATTTCCTCCGACGAGGCTTATCTTCTCGAGCTGGCTCTCGCGGAGAAGCTCGAGGAGCTAAACCGCGTGGCAAGCGTGGTTTCAAGATTGGGGAAAAAGTGCTCCGAACCAGCCCTGCAAGGGTTTGAGCATGTCTACGGGGATATTGTTAGTGGGGTGATTGATGTGAAGGAATTGGGGTTTCTGGTCAAGCATATGGAAGGGATGGTGAGGAAGATGGACAGGTATGTGACTGCTACTAGAAATTTGTATAGTGAAATGGAGGTGTTGAATGAGTTGGAGCAAGCAGTGAAGAAGTTTCAACATAATCAGCACGAGGAGAGTAAGCGGGCTTTTGAACAGAAACTTATGTGGCAGAAGCAGGATGTGCGGCATCTCAAGGATGTCTCAATTTGGAATCAGACTTATGATAAGGTTGTGGAATTGTTGGCCAGAACTGTGTGTACAATTTATGGTAGGATCTCGGTGATCTTTGGCGATGCAGCATTAAGGAAGAACAGTGTTAGGTTTGGTGGAGTTTCACCTCCTATGGACAATGAAAATGGATTTGTGTCTGGCCAGATTAAACGCAACCAAAGCAGAAAAAATGGATGTCATTCAGGGCCAGTTGGAAGACCAGCTTTGGAGAGAAAAGGAGCTAATCGTAAGGGTCAGCTAGATGTGAGGAGAGGTGAATTAGCATCTTTGCGGCCAGAAGATTTTGGCTTTCCATGTGGGACAAGCCCTGGGAGACTTTTCATGGAATGCTTGAGTTTGAGCAGCTCCGTTTCTAGATTTGATGACGATGACGATGTTGTTTATCGTGAGGATCAGTACTGCCATGTTTCAGGTAATGGAATGAAAAGGGAAAGCTCTTGCCATTCTGGTGGTCTAAATCATGCCCATAGTGGTGTTTCTTTCACTGGAGACCTAAGACGAATCAAACCTGGCGTTTCAAGTAACTCAAGCTTTGGTCCCAAAAGTAGATTAGCAGCTTATGCTCCTCCTTCCACTCTTGGAGGTTCAGCTCTGGCATTGCACTATGCTAATGTCATACTTGTCATTGAGAAGCTGCTCCGTTATCCACATTTAGTTGGTGAGGAAGCTCGGGATGATCTATACCAGATGCTTCCAACAAGCTTAAGATTATCTCTTCGGACCAAATTGAAGTCCTATGTCAAGAATTTGGCTATATATGATGCTCCTCTTGCTCATGACTGGAAGGAGACTCTTGACGGGATCCTTAGGTGGCTTGCGCCACTCGCGCATAATATGATCAGATGGCAAAGTGAGCGCAATTTTGAGCAACACCAAATTGTTAGCAGGTCAAATATTCTGTTACTTCAGACTCTATACTTTGCTGATAGGGTAAAGGCAGAGGAAGCCATGTGTGACCTTCTGGTCGGGTTGAATTACATTTGTCGGTATGAGCATCAACAGAATGCATTACTTGATTGTGCGAGCAGCTTTGATTTTGAAGATTGCATGGAATGGCAAATGCAGTGTAGTTCATCTTACCTCAATTGAGTACATTCTAAACTTTTGAAATGCTGTATGAGGTGAGCATTTTCCTGGATTCGGAATACCTTAATGAAGTTATTAGTTATATAGGATGTGGGATTCCAAACTTTGCAAGTTGAGGTCTAACATTTGTTGAATACATGATGACAGTATAGCTGAATTTAATTGCAAATCGACTGCTGAAGTATACAAGCAATCATATTCATTGAAGGGGGAAAAAGTTCACGCTGAGCTTGTAAATATGTTTATGTACAGCTTGCTTCCTGCTGCTTTTTATTCTTATAGTATCTGGCTATCTGCAACTTCTTGCAGCGTCACAATGCCTTTGCTAGAATTGTTGTCATGGATAGCTGACACTATAATTGATGTCCTACTTGCTCCAGCTGCTGCTGATCTATTTCTGCACTCGCATTTCATTATTTCTATTCAACAGCCTTGTATTCTGGTCAAAGTCACCTAGTTATATTTCCCCCCCTTTTGCCTGGTCTTGTTCATTTTTCTTTTCAAAGAGTTATATTATTTAGTTTAGAAAGTGAGAGGAAGCCACTGCATGATTTCAATGTTTCAAATAATACAAATGCTTGTTCTTCGTATGAACTGAGTGCTTCGTGTGAATTCTAACTGATGAAATGCGTTTTCATGATAGTCGCAGACAGGGATGACAAGTGACCAGAGGCAGGTCAGAGCGGGATTACCTAACTGATGAAAGTGGAGTTTCATGTTGTCAAAGGTGTCGTTTAGAGCTTGATTTGCTTTCCCACTGTGCTTAAATTTATTGAGTGCTCAAATACAGGTTATTGAGTTGGAAAAGCATATTATATTATAAGTAAAATAAAAGTAAGTTAAAATTAATATACTTTCTTTGTTTCATAAAAAGTGTCACACGAACAACTTTCAGATATGCTAAAGAAATTATTAATTATTAAATAATCTAATTTTTTGTAAATTAATCTTTTACTTTCTCTAGTTCTGTTTATAGAATAAAAAGAGTTTTTTTTTTTATTTATAAGTTATATTATTAAATTTTTATTATAAATTTTTTCTTCTACTTTTCATTAAATATTAAAGAGAAAAAATATGTTGTTAAAATATGTATTTTAATGAGGATGAAGTAAAGAACATATTTTATTTAAAACAGAATTAATGAATTTTAAAATTTTTATTAATTTTAATAAAACATATTGAGAGTAAGATATAAATAATATTGGAAGGATACTTTCCTAGCATGCCCTAGCGTTGTTTAAATGAATAGTATTATTTGACCATTAATGAGTGCGCTGGTAACGTGCAAAAGCAAAATAAGAAACATAGAATTTAATACCTCCAAATATAAAAAGACACTTACTCTCTCTCTCCTTCTATTTAATGAGGGTTAAACAAGTAATAATAAAAATTAATAATACAATTTACAAATAGAATTAAAAAATTATTTTCTCTTCTCTTGGTGAATAAAACCGGAGGAGTATTATGAAACATGAAAAAGAGATTTTTTTTTTGTGACACTCACATTAAAGAACAGCCAATATCCACCAGTATCAGCCTCGCTGTCACTGTGAATCATTTATTACCAAGATGGATCTTCATTAACCCCTTCCTCATTTTGCTTCTCTTCCTTGCACTACCTCTCCATCTTTACATACAAACACACACGTGTCTGAACTGAGTGTAAAATATAGACACTGCTACAGTAACTGGTATAGATTTCTGAGGTAGTGAAATGGATGAAACAGGGAAGTTAAGAAGTTTGATGACGAGATAGCAGGGTTTGAAGGGGGAAGCTAATAGCAGTGGGAGAGAAGAATGAATGAGTGGGTATTGGGTAGAAGAGGGCATTCACTCCGACAATAAAAGAGCTTTCAAGGACTTGTTTGTGTAGTAGTTGGATGCCATTAATCTCTCAGTTTGTGTGGCTTCGCACCTGCACAATCAACCTCCTTTCTCCCTTGAGATTCTTTCTCCTTCATTTTTGTGTTCCTCACTCTTCTTCGAAGCTCAGCCACACATGAATAGTATGGCAAACAATGTGACTCACCGCTGCATTGTAGACCAAGATCTCATTCCACCACCACTGCCTTCTTGATTTTCTCACATTAATTAATTGAACATAATAAATTCATCTTTTAATCGTGTCAAAAGGAAAAAAGAAAAACTATTACTCCCTCCATCTCTATAAATAAGAGATATTTTAAAAAAAATTTTATCTTTAAATATAAGAGGTTGTTAGTATATTTTTTAATGAATGAGCTATTATACTTTTATTAAATTGAAAAAAAAATATAAATACTGTTATTAATTTACTTTAAAAAAATATTTATTTTTTATTTATAATAATTAATAGCAAAATTAGAATGTTATTGTATTTTTAATTAAATAATTAACTTTTATTAATTTATATAATTAAATTTAAAATATTATATATATAAAGACAGAGGGAAAATCTTATTCAGTTAGTGATGGAGGCAGAGAGTTCAATGAAGGGAAGAGTTAGTGGTTGGCCGCCACCTAAGCTTTTAGGGTCATCATTGGTCACCAAATTGGTTTTTGGGTCAATTTTGTGTAAATATACTTTTTTATTGTCTTTAATGGCCTCCTTTCCATTTAAATCTAGCCTCCTCTTCATTTGTTGAATTGATAATACGTTCTATCTGAAAACCTTAATTAATATTAATTTATATAATAACTGCTTCACAAATAAATCAGTTAATACTTGGAATATATTTCAAAATCACCCTTAAGTAGATGGGGAATTAATTCGCAGCCTACAGATTTGCAGCAGCTATTAAGTATTTTAACTCTTGAGATTTTCTTGCAATGAATTAATTTTTGATCAATCAAGATAGGAGTGCATTTATTAAGACGTTTTTGTTTATAATTGATGTTCATGTATTTGCAAGTACTTTGCAAAAATAGCTCATATTATAGGATTAAACTAGCAAGTAAATAACCTAATATTTATTATATTTTGTATTATGATGGATTTATTATATTTGTTAATAATATATCGCTGTACATTAATAATAAACTTTTTATAAATTTTTAAATTTTTAAAAATAAACTCTTTATATGTAAATGATAAATTATTTATATATTAATAATAAATTCTTCATACATCGTTATAAATTGGCTATATTTTTAAATTTTCAAACATTTAGCCTATATTTTTTTATGTAAAAGGTTTTTTTTAGGCCAGTGGCTAATTGAGCCTATTTATTGAGGAAAATTGTGCTGGTGTATTTGGAGTGCTCAGCTTCAAAGCTTCAAACTAACACCTAGTACCTAGGAGAATTCATTTGTTATAAAACCACCAAACAACAAATGGTGGGTGCTTCAAAATCATAAAAAGGCCTTAGATGCAAATGATAGGAGTGTACATGGGTAGGGTTAGGTTGGGTAGAGTCCTTGCTTGATGCCCAACCTAAAGAATGCACAGGTTGCAAAATGTAGTCTGCTGCTGCTTGCAAGAAACTCTCTCATTTTGGGTTGGGCAGAATGAGCCGAGCACCTTTGAGTTAAAGCAAGTATTAGATAATTTAACTCAAAATAACATCCATAAATTATAAATCCACATCATAAAAGTACAAATCTCTAACTTGAAATATAAACTACCATAAGTCTTAACACAATATTCAATTACCCTCAATTCAATCTAAAATAATAGCCACAATACATTAAAAATAACAAATTTTACAAAAGGTTAGAGCATCATGTAACAAATATCAAGTGTCAATGACATAATAACATAGTTTGCATGTAGGTCGTGAAGCATCCATTCAAAGTGTGGAGCGAAGAGCAATTCACTAATGAATCTTGACTGGTTATCATCATTGAATACAGCAAGACATTTTTCAACCACATGACTACTAAATTTCTCCATTGATAGGTGCATATAGTGACCTTCGAATTTCTATAAGGAAAACAAAATTAATAGATGAAACATGAAAGAGAAAATCCAAAAGGGCAAAGTATTCACCTCTAGAATTTCATATCATTTCATCATTTTTTCCTTAGATTCTAATCCATTTTAGCTCATTTGTATATATTTTTATTACCTAAATTAAAAAAATGTGCATTTTACTTTGAGTTTGTATTTTTAGCTTTAATTTGATACTTTTGGGCTAATTTGTGTTATTTTGGTTTAAGATTTCATTAGATGCATTTCTGGACTTTTATTGATGCTTTTGGAAGGCTTTTGAATGAAGAAATCAAGTGCAAAAAAAAATAAATTTTGTTAATTATGAAAACAATTCAAAATTGCTAAAGTTGTCAGAAAGTTACAACTTTGGTTCACGACTTTTATCGCTGTTAGAAAAATATTGCATTTTATTTATCAAAAATTGATTGGCTAGGATGCATATATATATATATATATATATATGTTGAGAGTTCAACTCATAATGCATTCTTCTTAGTTTTAGACGCATTTGGAGTTTTGATGTATTAGGGTTCGAGCATTGAAAGTGCTTGAAGCAAGAAAATGGAGTTTTGAAGACATTTGGAGCTCCTTTTCTTTGATTTTTCTATTCCTCTTCCCTTTTCTATCTTGTAATCTCAAATAGGTCCAATTATTTTATATATTTATAGGTTGTGGATGATTATAAGTAGCTAAACTCTTTGTTCTTGAATTATTTAGAACCCTTGCATGGATTAACACTAAATTCCTCCTCTCTTTTTATGATTAATGATATATATATATATATATATATATACTCTTTTCTTAATGCTTTTAAGTAATTGGCTATCATTTAAATGTTGGGTTTACTTGATTGATGCTTGAGAGGGCTAGGTTGAGTATAAAACTTAGGTATAATAATGCAAGAACTTAATATTTGCATGTTGAATGGATAGTTTTGTTAGTAAGATAGAGATATACTTGCTAACCTTGCATAGTTACATTAGGATTGATGTTTAAAATTGAGTTTTATTAATTGTAACAAGAAATTGGGCTATTAATTTAACTAAATACTTATTCATGACTTGACAGAGCTTGTCCAAGTGTTTTTAAAACTCTAGGTTAGCACTTATCTTCATTGAAAGCATTTATGAGAGGAGGTAATTTTGGTGTTATAAAATACAAGGGGGATAAATAATTCTAGATCTTAATTTGTGTTTGAAGTGTATAATTCAACTGTTTTTCTTTATTTTCTAGTCTTAATTTAGTTTTAAAATTATTTTCACCTAATTATGTTTGGCTCAACTTAATTAAATTCCTTTAATCTTTTATTTGATCATTGTTTTTAAGCAAATCCTCAAGAAAATAATACTTTACTTTCATTATATTACAAGCTACGACCCGTGCATTTGCAGTGAGTAACACAAAGCACGGTATGTCTCATACTCTCTAAATTACTAAATGTAATAGATAAGTCAATAAAGAATTAGTGGCAAAGATTTAATGCAAATGGTGAAGCTAGATCCATTTGATAACTATATATCACATCTAGAGAGCAAACAAGTGTTGAAAAAGAAAAGGGCTCAAAATGAGACGGATATTAAAGTTCATAGATGTTTCATCATCGTTAATGAGATTCTACAACTTAAGATGAAATGGGATAGGTAATTGTTGTATATGTTCTTTTATTCAAAGTTTTAATATGATCATCATTCTATCATTACAAAATGGTCATGTATAAGTAAAAAGTTCCAATTTGAAAACTAAAGCTTTTCATTTGAAAAATTAACAAGAAATCTACTTTTGAAGAAAACCCTTCAATTGCACTCTTCCCTCCAAGTGTGTAAGATATTCTAAAGGATGAGGCAACAGGAGCTTCATCCTCTATACTTTCTCTATGTTCTAAATGAATTAATTGGCATTTAAATGACCACAACAGCATAATAGAACCACAAATTAGATAATAACGCAATAATACTCAAACTACAATTGGTAGAGATAATAATACGCTCGACTTTAAAACAAGTTAAAATAACAAGACTTTTTGCATAAGAAAACATAACAAGACTTTAATTGTGGATAGGCAATAAGCAAGATTCAAATTGCAAAATATTCAAGGCAAGGATAGAGACGCGAAACATAAAAAGATTTTGGAGATGCAAATTCGAAGACTCAATAAATCAATATGAATAATAAAATGAGAAAGGGAGAGATGGACTTACTAGTAAGTGGTTATCACAAACTAAGAGAGATTGAGAAGGAGAGACTAAGTTGAACATGGTCATGAACTGAGAAGGAGAGATGCAAATGCTTTGCTAGTCACAGCAACATAGTCAAACGCAAGATTGTCTAGCTTGTCACACACAGTCTCGCGATCTTCAAGCTCGTCACACACAGTTGTGCAATCGTTAAGCACTCAAGCTCCTTCGCTCAATCAAACACAACGCAGCACAAAGCACACGCTCTACTTGTCAAGCTTAGTCATACTTGCACACGGGAGAAAAGGGGAAGATCAAACATCAATTCGGAAGATGGGAGGGAAGGGGGAGATTAGACTCGCATGCCATTGTTGGAAGAGGGTCGAACTTCAGAGTTTAAACAGGAGATTGGAGAGGAAAGGAGATTGACAACTAGAGCTAAATGAAATGGAATAGGAAAAAAGAAATCTAACCTTAACCCTTTCCCTCCCCTTTTTATTTATTTGACCGAGACCTTCTTTCTAGTAAGTCTGAATTAAAAATAAATAAATAATTTAACAACTAAAAAAAAATACTCAAGTTGGGCTAAATAGGCATGACAGCATATCTTCCCCTGCTTGGCACTGCTTGTACATTGGCCTAGCTTTAACATGCCCAGAACATTTTAGGCCCTTTTTTGGGTCAGGTTGGGCAAAATTTAACTAAATTTAGATAGGCACACTAAGTCAATGGGCATGATGAACACCCTTAGCAAATGATAAAAAATATTGTATCATATAGAAACATAAACACACACAGACATGCGCATAAAGTCAAAAATTAAATTCATGGAGACTTACAAATCCTTCTTCAATTTGAGATATCAAATTTCAATATTACTACCTCCGTCTCAAATTATGAGAAACTTTTGCAGGAGATTAGGCATCCCAAAATATAAGATATTTTAAAATAATTAAAGTTTCATTAAATAGACTTATTCTAATTTACCATTTATTTTTTTATAATTAATTTTCATCTTTTTTTAATATATTAAATGATGGATATTTTTAAAAGTTTATATTTTTATTTTGAAAAATAAAGTTGTTAAATATATTTAATAAGATTTATTAACTTGTGAGATTTTATTTAAAAACATTTTATAATTTGAGATGGAGGGAGTATTTTATAAAGCAGAAAAGATGTAATGCCCAAGATATTCTTTAACTCAAAGGCTAATTTTGTCAGTTTGGATCGTGCGCAAGTTTTTTTTTGTGGTTTTAATTTCTTATTTTCTAAAAAAAAAATCTAAATCAATATTTGATGATAAAGTACAGGCCAGAATTTTTTTTGGTTTTGACCTGAAGTATAGGCCAGATTGAGATCAACAAATTATGGAGGAAGCCCATCCCTTTTTTTTTTTGGAAAGTACCTGGGTATCGTATCTTTCTTTCCAGTCCATGCTAAATTTTTTGCCAAAAAAAAAATTGCGAGAGAGATGGGGGCGGGAGGAAAAGGAAAGTTGGAGATAGTTGCCTGCTTCCCGTTCGGCTTCTCTCCACACCACAGCGTTATGAGAATGCATCCTCTGAACTATTAGAGGGTTGTGAACTTTGTTAGTGAAGTGAAATGCTTTTTTAATTTTTTATTTTTTTTATTGTCGAAGATTCGATCTGTGATCCGTCAAAGAAGGTTATCGATCATTTTCTCGAGCAGCCAAACAAGATCCTCATCCTTTCTACACTTTCTCCTTGCCAATTCCAGATTCCGTCTTCCTCTTCTCATTTTCTTCTCCGAAACACCTGCAACCTTAAAGAAAGCTGCGATCTGCACTTCTTTCCAGGAATGAATTACAGAAGGTTCCTTTCCGGACCCGTCTAGCTCGTTTTGCTTTTCGATTTTCTTTTTGTTTTCGCCAGAATTTGCTTCTTGATTGCGTGTCGTTCATTTGCAGTGCATGGCCTGATCAGGTTGTGCAGCAATTATTCATCTGTCTTTTTTAGTTTCTTGAAACATTCTTTTACATCTAGTTGTGCTGCAACTGATGCATTTTCAACCCTGCGTCCTCAATCAATTTACATGCTGTGATAACGTTGAAATAATTTTCGGACCAAATAACCGTATTTGCAAATCCTGTTATCACATGTCAGCATGGTGTTTCAGTTAGATTTTGGATGGTTTATGATGTTATCCTTGGCTATGGTTTAAATGTGAACTTAATTTTAATATGTATTAGTTAACTTATAATTATATTAGTATCAATTTCAATTATATTAATGCGTGCTACATTTCACCATAGCACAATCAAAGCTATGTTTCTTGAGCTATAGCGTTTAAAAGCTCTTGCTTCTTCAAGTGCACAACGCGCTATTGAAAACTATGATAACTGGGGGAAGATCTGGCGAAGTACATGAATCAGTATTCTGCGGTTGCATTTTGTAAATGCTTAATGAAGGGTGACAAATTTAGGATGATCGGTAGCCTTGAGTAAAGTGAACAGAAGAAACAATATCGTTTGACCTGTTGGACATCTTAAATGTGCCTTATTTTTTTTTTTTAATTGCTTAATGCTAGTTTAGTTTCCACAGTGTTTACGAAGGTTTTTTTTTTTTTTTTAATGATTTCAATTCTTTGAGACCATGTAGTTTTTCCACAGGGTTCAAAAACAACAAAAAATGTTGTTGATTTGTTGCCAAGCAGAGGGGTTCAACCATTAGAGAAAATTGCTTAATGATGGTCATAATAGTGTTTAATCAACTAATTTTTCAGTAGTTAAGTTCTTGCACTTTCATCTTTGTTTTCATCCTTTCAAATAGATGGTTGTTCTAATGAAGAAACTAATTAAAATGTCTTGTTTTTCACTTCTTTGTATGTTGTTTTAGTGGTTAAATTTCTTGTGCTTATTTCTCTTTTTCTTAATTCCTATTAGTTATATGAAATTATTCATTTTAGAACTTCGATGAAAAGGAGGGTTAAAAAAGTTTTGGTTCTCACTTCTCACTGCTTCTCTTACTGTTTAGTTGTACATGTTTTCATGTCACTGGCTGGTTGCCTTCAAACTGCTTTGCTCTCTCTCTGTTTTTTTTGGGTAGTCTGTTGCCATCTAGTATAGGTGAAGTGGAAATACGCTGTGTGCCATGCAAAGACTACAGGTTATGGATACTAAATACCATATAGAAGTTAGTACATTTGCTTCAAGCTTAACAAGCCAGAGTTGCTTTGAGACTCTTAGAACGACCTTGTGTCTTGGTTGCAGTACAATCTATTTTTTCTCGGTCAAGTCTTATTTACCCAGTCAATCTTCTTATATCAGGTGTGCTTCTCATAAATGTGTGTGTGTGTGTGTGTGTGTGTGTGTGTGTTTTTGTTATATATGTTATTAGCTCTCTGTCACTGTGGGTTTATATTCAAGCCACCAGCTCCATTATTTGTTGTTGTCATTAATCTTTTTTTCCAATGCTTGTTGCTGAAATCATTGAGAACTTCATTTGAAGGATGCTCATGTCAGGGTATTGCTGAGTTTATTTTTTTTTTTTGGGTTCCATTTGGCTTTTCAATCACTTTTAGCAATATCATTTCCCTCTGTTGTAACAATTCTTCTAATTATCATTTTAATTAAACAGAGATAGTCGATCTTCCAGATCATCCCTTTTCGATGGATATGATGGTCTTGAGGAAGGTGGTATAAGGGCTTCTTCATCATACTCAAATAATATGAATGAGCATGATAATGACAAAGTCATAGAGAGTTTGCAGGACAGGGTTGTTTTCCTTAAGAGAGTAAGTCCTTTTTTATTTTCTAGTTACCCATTATCAACTTTTTTTATTATATAGCTTCAGCGATGCTTTGTTCTTATAGATGCTCTGATGCATTAAAAAGGTTTATCAAGTTTTGCTTACATTGCATTTTGAAGGAAAAGCAATGGCTGTGCTTTGCATATACTTTCTCTGGTCCAAAATAAAAGTATTTTCTCCTAGCTAATCTTGGTTCAAAATATAAGCAACATAGTATTTATAAAATATATATATATATATATTCCCATTTTACTCTTTGTATTTATTAACCGGGATTCTCATGTCTGTGAATTTATGACATTATTCTCACTCATCATAAATTAGAACTAAGGATAAAAAGGAAAAATGATATATATTTTCATGAAAATAAGGAATTTATTAGTATGTGGATTATTGTTAAAGTATGCTTATATCTTGGGCCAGAAGGAGTATGTTACTTGGAAGTTTGATACTTGGAGAGCTCTCAAAACTGATTTGTAATATAAGTTGTTCTGTTTGTCAGGATTTTATCTCTTTGGTTCCCTTGCAATATTTCTGGAAATTCAGTGACTAAAAATTGTTAGATGGTTAATTGCATCACCTCAAGTTATTGTATTATGGGATAATGAAACTTTCATTCTCTTATATTTGCCTTAGCTATTGATTAGGTCCCTCAAATTTAATTTTTATCAATTTATCCTTTATGTTTTCTTAAATTATCACATTAGTCCTTTAAGTTTTAAAACATAAACTAGATTTTAAATTAATTTAATGTGTGAAGTAAATGAGAACAAATTAGCCCTCAAATCAATTTAATTTTTATCAATCTAATTCCTTATGCTGTGTTTTATTCTTTTGATTTTTAAAAATTTTGAAGTTTGTTTTTTCTTACATAAATAATTACTCCGTCTGTTAAAAAATATAAGATATTTTTGACTGAATCTCATCCTTCAATAAAGTAGTTATCTATTTTTAAACTAACTCTATCTTTTCATATTTACCCCTATTAAACACCCTACAATAAATGTGAAGTCATTATCAATATGGGTACTTTTAACAAAAAAGCAATGATTACACTTCAAAAAATTAAAAATGTCTTGCATTTTTTAATATCAAACACCCCAAAAAATACCTTACATTTTTGAACGGGAGGGGGGGGTATGCTTCTTTTCATTCACATGCATTATTGCCATTAATTTTTCACTATCTATATCAGCAAATTTTAACAATGTTACCCTTCTCTGAGCCATGAGGACCAAATCACCAAATCAATAAAAATTAAATTTGAGAGACCAAATCGATAATCAAGACAAATTTGAGAGACTAAAAGTTTTATTATCCTTTGTATTATTAACTTAAGATGTTATTTATTTTGAATTTGGCAACCTGGTTCTTTTCAATGTGGAATTTTCCATAGGATATCAAGGATCCATAACATCTCCAACCGCCCAAAACGAGATGTGTTCATTAAGTTAATGTGGCCCTGGTTGCTTATTTGCTGGCTTATATTTTCCTCTTTGGCGCCCTTTGATTCAACTCCTTCAATGGGCTTTCTTTTTATGATAGGACGACATTGTCACTGCCATTGAGTGCTTTTTTTTTTTTTTTGAGTAAATGCTATTGTGTGCTATTTATTGTCACATCCCTCCACGAGGGAAATGTTGTCTCTGATATGATGTGCCAACTTCATATCTTGTACTTTCTCAAAGTGGGTACAAAACGATTAAATGAACTGGTTTAGAAATTTATGTTATCTGTAAAATAACATTTTTGACACCACTTATTAACAGTTAACTGGGGATATACATGACGAGGTGGAGAGTCATAACCGTTTACTCGATCAGATGGTAAGAAACAACATGCTGCCTCCGTAGCATTCCCCTCCCCCACCCTCTTGTTAATATAACTGACTTCTGTTGTAAATCAGGGTGACGGCATGGATGGATCAAGGGGTATGATGTTGGGAACCATGGATCGGTTCAAAAAGGTATGTAGGATCATGTTCTCTTTTCTATGTTATTGTTACTTGATTTTTATTTTATTTTCATTTTCTACATTGATGGGAAAATGACTTGGTGTTATAAAACTGGATGTTCTAGGTTTTTGAGAAGAAATCAACAAGGAAAACGTGCTCCCTTGTGGCATATTTCACAGTTGCCTTCATATTTATATACTACCTCATCAGGTAAAATGATTCTATGATCCTATTTTGTTCATCTCGAATGATTGAACGATGTCAATGGAAACATATTTATACGCCAACCTTTCTGAACCTTATTCAGTTATTAATATTAAAAAATCCTATTATTCAGTAAAATTCATTGGGGAAACATTTAGATAAAACCAAGGAGTTTGTTTTTTGATTAAGCTCAATTATTCTTGAAATTTAATCATTCTTTTCACACATATTTTGAACGGGAGACACGAAATAGAGCTATTGTCTGGTATTATGATCTAAGCAGCATGTTGTCATTGATCTATGAATAACTAATACAGGTATGGTCTGTTGGATGTTGGAATTCTGATGGAATTTAGATCACATTTGCTTACTAGAATAGAATGAAATGGAATGAATTGAAACAATAAAAATAAAAATAAGATGATTAAAGGGGATAGGTGAGCACATTTATAAGGGAAAGAGGTAATTTATGTTCCGTTTGGTATGATGAAAATGTTTTTGAAGGAAATGAAAGTGAAGGTGGAAGTGGAAATGAAAGGACTTGTATGCCCTTACCTAAAAAACCCTACTCCTAGCCACCATTGTAACCTTCATCAACCAAGCACAACAGCAGCCACCGGTTGGCCACCCTAAAAATAATGTCGAGAATTATTTCTTTTCCTGCCTCGGTTTTTGAATGAAGAACTGTATGTTTTAACCAAAAAGGAAGAAATTTTCAAGTTGAAGATTAGAGGAATCTGTTTGATTTTTTAAGCTCGTTGACGGTGTTCTTGGGTGTTGAAATTTTCAAAATGGTTTGAATTTTATCTTTTTCCCAAAGGCATCAAAAGGATCTAGAATATTGTCTTTTCATCTACAACTCTGTCTATACAATTCTAATGGTGAAGGGACTGCACGATTAAACCCTTCCCCTAACCTAGATCCGTTGCTGAAGGGACAGCATAGCCAAAACCTCTCCATAGATGTCACCCGAGTCATTGATTCTCCGAGTCATATTGTAGAAGAGAGAGGAAATGTGCAGGGAGAGACTGCGGTACCTAGGACTGTTGTAAATTCCTGTTGCTGCCAGTAAAGAATCGAAGAACAAAAGTCAGAGCAGGAGTCATCACCGTTCAATGTTGTCCTTGCCGAAGTCATCACCGTTCGGCATCGTCCTCATCGGAGTTATTGCCGTTCAGCATTGAAGTAACCACAGTTGCTGCCATGGTCCTCTTCATCGTCCTCAATGGCAATAAAATGGAGAGATGGTAATGGGGCAAAACTGTCAGACTTAAGTTGTGATGGAAGTGGAAGTGGGTTCTATGGGGGTGGGTGCGGAAGTGGGTTCCATTAGTTTTGATGGAAGTGACTTCCACTGGGAAGTAAATTCAAGCATACCAAACGCATGAAATATGGGCTTCCACTTCCAGTTCCACTTCTCTAGCCTCAATTCACTCCTACCAGACGGGACATTAGTTCAAAGGGTTGGGAATCATAATTCATGAAATTTTGAAAAGGTGTGATGATTTTTACATTTGTAGTATATATTAACAAGTTTTATCATGCGTACTATGGGGAAAAAGGTGATTGAGTTTTGTTTTGATTTTTTCATTCTATTCAATTCCATTATATTCTAATAAGCAAACGTGACCCTAGGTTATAAGCGTGTAGTGGTTACTGGTTAGCGAATAATAACTTGGGAAAAACATTTATGATATACTGATGGATATTTGGTACTTATTTGCAGGCTTTTGGGTTATTTTACTCTTGGCTGAATCATAATTTGGAAGTTGTGGCAATATTAGTTCACAAGTAAAATCCTGCGGCATACCCTCCGGTAAGACTGCCCCAACTCCCAATTGAATGAATCCATTTGGCAGTGAACTTGTGTGGAACCAATTGGTGATCGTGGAGCTTTAGTCAAGGCCGACAAACTCTATAGTCACCCCACTTCTCTCTCTCTCTCTTAAATAAAATTCATTACATAGCCTGGAAAGTGGAAAATGTAAATTCAATTACATCATATGGCCTTTTTTTTTTTATTGAATTGACAATTGCAAGAGGTGGCTGAAGGACTAGGAATACAGTTGATGATAGAGGCGTTCATTGAGTGGAGTTGGCTTATGAATCCTGAATTTTAACTCAAACACCACTTACCAACTTTGTAGGATGAGGTGGGTTTGATTGAAAATTAAATTTACCCCTTGTTTGGGGGGCCACCCCCCCTTCCCCCTCTCGTGGATGCCAATTCCACATGCTTGCCCATGGATAGAAAAAAATAAAGTGAAAATTACACCTATGTACCACGGAAGAAAATCTGTTAGTGAGAGATTTCATAAAATTTATAAAATACTCTTAAGTTTCATATGTGTATTTATAGCTGGATAATAGGCATTTACAACTAGCAAGTTGAAAATGACTATTTCCCAATTGAAATTACCCTATGTCAAGTTACAAATATACAGGATTTGAGACTTGAGAGTATTTTATGAATTTCATGGGCCCTTTTGATAATAAATTTTCTTATGTGAAATTTAGGTGTAATTTTCTCAAAAATAAATCAGACCACCTTCTAGGAAGCGTTTCTATTCCTCTTTCCAAAACCTCTATTAGTGACAAAACACATACAACATTTACAAAATCAAGAATAGGGATCCTGCACAATGTTACACATACTCAAAAAATCCAAGTCTCTAAGCTTCTTTGGCAAGCATGCGTTCACTTTACACCAATTTCAGCTTTAATCTTTAGTAATATCTGCAATTGGGTCAACCATACATTTTGAAATATCCTACAATTTCTCTCAACACCAAAAAAAAAAAAAAATTGTGGTAGGCCACAGCAGTTACAACTTACAATGGCAAGCAAAATATATTTCCTAACCTTATTCTGATTAAAAGAATGCAATAAAACTTGTCACTAACTTCTGGGCCTTTTACCCTCTAATTTTGCATTAATCAATTCATGGCATCATATGATAACTTCATAGCCCAGTCACACTAAAGAACAAGTGATTCACCGATTTATTTTCAACATTACACTGCACTTGTGCAGGAGATTCAACCTGAAAATTAAAAGCAAGCAACTTTTTTTTTTTTTTTATAAAATAAAAGCAAGCAACTTGTTCTTTGTAAGCAATCTCTTCCTTGCATTAAGCCACACAGGGAAAGAATGTTTAGGTGAATTATACATTTATACTTTATCCACACCACCTTAGTACAAATTTACTCCTCAAGTGCATGAGCCTCCTCCGCTACCAAGTTACCAACTTACATCAGCGGATATATTATAAGTCCACTAGTTCCTCCTTTCTGGATAGACTTCATTAATCCATTTAACCTATGATGAATATTTTTTTTGGGTAATTCATATCATTTTATGCAATAGACATGATTCCACAGTATACGATCTCTGAAATTTAGACCTCTATATTATATAGTCTTTTGTAATGGAGCATTGATCCCACTGTTCGGTACTCATCTTAAGATGAGCACGGAGCACCCCTGTGCTCAACGACTATGCTACGTAGTTGCATGGGTTTTTTTCTCCCTTTTTCTTTTTCATCTAAAACCAGTTATTATTATAATAATAAATAAATTTTATAAAATAAATAAATTTAAATGGTTGAAATTTGACCTAAACAGTTCAGGTATAGAATTTGACTTGAAGAGTTCAGAACTATATTAAAAAATTAGAACCGTAATTAAAAATAGTTTATAAAATTGTATTGATAGTGCACAAGTATTTATTTATTAGAAGTGCAGTCAGATACTAAATGTAAGAAACTATTTTAACAATAATTTGAACATTGTTATAAGTAGCTAACTCATTTTGTCTATTTCAAACTGCTCAAGTAATTTTTTTCTAACTTTTTAATATAATTCTAAACTGTTCAATTTAGGTTCTATATTTGAATTGTTCAGATTAAGTTTCAACAAATTAAATTTATTTATTCAATATAATAATAATTTTATAATAGAGGAAAAAAGAGGGGAAAAAAAAAGGCCCATGAAACGACGCTGTATACTGCCGAGGACTCTGGTGCTCATCCTAAACAAATCCAATCCCACGAGCTTTCGTTTTTTCACTGTCATTGGGGCCCCACGTCTGGAGGCTGGCTTGCAAATTGCGTGTTTTGATCCTCTCATTTAATTTGACCCAACTCATCAAATTGTTCTTTTTTAAGCTTATATTTCAATGTTTTGTCTTCTGTATATATATATATATAAAATAAACTAATCAGGTATTCATATAATCATATCTGTATTTTGCGCGGAAGAAGTGACATTCTCATTTTTCAGAAGTTTAATTCACCAACCCAGCCCCGTGAATGACTTTACTTCAATCATTGGGTTAGGATTCTTTGGGTCTAACGAAAATCAGTCGCTGTAGTGGCCGGCCTTAATCTTTTTAAAATAAATTTTTATCAGCCACTTAAATATAGAAAGAAAATTATTAGATTTTGTCTATGATATAAAAAAAACTCTAATAATTTATATTATTCACATGTTATTAAAAATAATGTAATTTGTCATTCTGATTTTGTGCAACCTATAGGGCCTTATATTAGTTTTAAAAATAATAGTTATTTATCACAAGCGGAGATTGTATTAAATTTAGATGACACACTTCTTCCGATTCTATTCGGTTGGTAGAATGTCGCATATCGTTTGGGGTCAAATGTGTAATTGTATCCTACTATCGAAAGAATTAAATACCATTAGGGCAGAGGGTAATCCAATTAGACGGACGCTCTCAATCGTGTGCATAATTTTCAAGTCACGAATATGTTATATGATCCATCCAAGTTGTAAATTAAATCATCAAATTCAGCTTGTCATCTTTGATTTTTTTCTTTATACTAAGTAGGAGGAGTAGGCTTTGCCAACCACAAATACTATCTCCCTTGACATACTTGATGGTAAATGATAGATTTCTTATAATTATATTGCTATACATACATACATATATATATATATATATATAGGTTAAAATTCAAATTTTTAACCACGTACTTACATAACGAGAACT